GTTGATTACATTAAATAAGTTGCATAGCAGTGGAACGGTTACACTTCAAATCCTATACAGTAAAACCTGAAAGGTTCTACCTTTTGCGACATGATGCCACCAATGTGGGAACTTCAAATCCTATACAGTAAAATCTGAAAGGTTCTGCCTTTCGCGATATGAAGCCACCAATGTGGGAACTTCAAATCCTGTACAGTAAAACCTGGAAGGTTCTGCCTTTTGCGACATGATGCCACCAATGTTGGAACTTCAAATCCTATACAGTAAAACCTGAAAGGTTCTACCTTTTGCGATATGATGCCACCAATGTGGGAACTTCAAATCCTGTACAGTAAAACCTGGAAGGTTCTGCCTTTTGCGACATGAAGTCACCAATGTTGGAACTTCAAATCCTATACAGTAAAACCTGAAAGGTTCTACCTTTTGCGACATGATGCCACCAATGTTGGAACTTCAAATCCTATACAGTAAAACCTGAAAGGTTCTACCTTTTGCGACATGATGCCACCAATGTGGGAACTTCAAATCCTATACAGTAAAACCTATACATAGTTTTTATTATATTCCTGCCATTACAACTCTGTTCCCAGCAGGTGCAGTGTGTTTCGGCACATGTATGCCATCTTCAGGTCCGGTTTTTAGTTTGAATTCTTCTATCATTGACAGGACTATAATAAATGCCGTCTACAGTGCTTTACACGCTGATAACCTCCTGTCATTTCATCTCTCTTCGGTCCAAATATTCTCCTCAGCACCCTGTTCTCAAACACCTCAGTCTATGTTCCTCCCTTTATGTCAGAGACCAAGCTTTGTGTGCGTTTTCTGAACAAGGTTATTTTTAAGGTTAGGAGTTGTTAGCCCCACGCCAAACCCCCAAGCTGGAGGACAACCACTTGTCGGCTGTCCGCGACTGCTTATTCAATATATTCGCAACTTCCATAACTGGAGGGCGTCTCCTCCATCCGCAACCTGAGGACGCGCCATGACGTGGTGAAAAGGGACCCACCTAACATGGCGTTATTGGAAATAGTAAATAAAAACTTCCCGATATATTATCATGATATGTTCCTGATATTTTCATTCAGACTTCACAACAGAAATAACAGGTGAATGAAAAATGTATATTATACAAATATTGAAGCTGTACGCTCTACTAGACTGGAGAGAGAGAGAAAAGAGAATATCAGAATCAAGGCTTAGAAAAATGAGGTTTGAGCTTCATGTGGCCCTTGATGTATTTTTGTATTTATTCGGATATTCTTAAATTTCAGTCTTCTGGTTTATGATACTATGTAGATTGTTTATGTTTACGTTTCAGAGGAAATTACATATTCCGTCCTCAGTGTATAAGTTTAGATATAGGCAATTCGTTCGTATAAAACTCTGGTAACTTCCTACCAGATTGCATGGTATCATAACACAGAAGACCGCAATGTGAAATGTTACCTGAAGAAAAACCTAAGATCTCGTAACAGTAGTCATCTTTCGGTATTTATTTTTTATTTTTTTATTTTTTTTCAGGAGAAGAAGTTGTTCCCATTTTTTGATTCCGCCTACCAAGGTTTCGCCAGTGGCAATTTGGAAGAAGACGCTTGGCCAGTTAGATACTTTGTGGATAGAGGATTTGAGATGCTTATTACCCAGTCATTTTCCAAGAACATGGGACTTTACGGTGAGAAATTAATCTTTCCGCAGTTACTCACCTGCAACTAGTGCAGAGGTCAAGAAAATGCGAATCTTATAGTATAAAAGAGATTATCAGCTCCGTCCGGTGTGATTGATAAATGTTTTTTCCTCCTTTTTAATCTTTCATCCTTGACATGTTTCGGTCGGAGAGACCACCTTCAAAATATAAATACCAGCCTGGGTTCATGAAAAACGCAAGTCTTCGACTTACGCCATCTTGTGTTTGGTACTTTTCTCTGGAATGCAAGTATGTTGTAGATACTTGTGCCCGTAACTTCACAACTATATTTACTGTAAATGTAAGCGATTATAATCCAAATATTTTATGGAGGCTGATGAGTTCTGGCTGGCTCTTTGCGTAATCATCTCTCCCAAACTTATCTCTGAGTCTCCTATAACTACCCATAATAGAAATCTAATCTTTACAGATTAAGTTAGCGAGGCTACAAAGAAGAAAAACAATTTTTTTTATTTAGCATACATTAAATCAATTACAGGTTATGCGTAAGAACATGGTAGCTTATTCTCTGTAATAGTTAGGCTATGACCTGGATTACCAGAGAATAGGTTTCGATTCCCTGCTGGAGATGAAGTTGGCTACCGTGTCCAGAGGCTATGGAGTCATCCAGCCTCGCGTCCAATGGACATCGGGGGTCCTTTCCCTGGAAGTAAAGCGACCGCACAACGACGCTAACCGCCTATCTCCGTCTAGTGTCGAAAGTTAAAGGAAGACCGGAGCTATACCTCCAGAAGAAGGAGAACGCATATAGTGGGCAGTAATGCGAGTCCTTTGACGTCTACCTACCTACCTACTTACCTACCTACCTATCTACAGGCCTTCTGGAACTTGTTCCTTTTTTAGTTCCTTAATCCTGTACACAGTCGATAGGACTCCTTGAGCGGGGGATCAGCCCGTCGCAAGGCCCCCACCTAAACACAGGGTAACACAAACACAGAATAAACGAAAACAAACACCCATGCCTCGAGTGGGATCCGAACTCGCGATCTTAATGTTGGGGCAGGCGAAGACAGTTCATGCTTTTGACTGTGCAGCCATTGTGATTGCCCCTTTGACGTGTACGAGGTAAAATTGTGCATAAGCAAAGAATCGAGGTGGTTGCGAATGAAAGTTTAGTGGCACGTTAATAAAAATCCTTGGTCTAATTAAGGGATGACCATCAGGGACCAAGTTTGGAGCTTCATTCCCATCAAGTTCTCCTCTTTTGAGCAGCTCAAAGCCAATGTGGAAGATTTAAAATCTATATTTTCGGTGGTTTTTATTTCCTATAGGGGATAGGACGGGATGCCTTATACTTCTACTGAAGGAGGGACGGCAAGAGGAAGTTGGTTCCATAAGGTTGATGCTGACGATTATTGCCAGAGCTCTGTACCTGTGTCCCACTAGACACGGCGCTGAAATTGTGATTCAGACCCTGCAAGACCCGGCCTTACGTAAGCAGTGGTAAGTTGGCTGATTTATTCCACGTTGTAACTCTTCTGTGTTTCGAACTCCAATATGTAACTTAGGGAAAATAATTATGTAACTATGCACAGAATCTCTAATCACCGATACTAGCCTGCATGTCAGTAGGTGCCACACTTGGCTTCGTTGCCAGTACCTCCATATTCTCGTCCTTGGCTTGTATGAGAATAATATTAAAATGTTTTTGATTTTTTAATTTTCGTGGGCAGCCTTGTGTGTTCATCTTCTTGTACTAAGAGACTGTTGGTTTGCTACTAGAACAAAGAACTAAATAGAGCACTACAGTAAAGCAATTTCATAAAATCTTCTACAGGTGAGCATATAAGGTCGAAACATGTTTATTTATGGGAAAATGACAACATAAAGTAAAAAAAAGTAAAAGTATCCCTGTAACAGGCCGTGGAGGCCCATAGAGTTGTGAGATGTCGAGGTTCCCACATTTTCTAGACAATCGGCTCATAGATGGCGGTGAGGTTGTCAGCCGCCCTTTACCCCCAAGAACTTTCCAAGAATATTCCTGGTGCTCATTTCTGTTAGAGGCTGAGTCGACCCCAAGGCCATAGTGCGGCTAGAAAGATTAGGTAAATTGAAGATGACCTCCTAAAAGTCTATGAGCACGACAAAATGTTGCACTTCCAAGACAGATCACGCAAATTATCTCAACAACTGCAGGAGGATACTGAAATATAATATTAAAATGGATGTTGAACACGGTGGGAGAAATGGGATGGATGCATACGTCTCGTGATAGGGACCAGTGAACAGGGCAATGGACACTTCATTTCCATAAATTCCAGGAATGTTTTGACCAGGTGACCAGAGGATCCCAGACCCGTGAAATAAAGTCATGAGTCCAGTGGGACACGGAATGAAGAATCACTGTGCTGGCGAGGACCAGCAGCAATTTAGCAGTCAATAATCAGAGCCCATATTGATTTGGACGCTGTGACAACGCGGATATACATAAGGGGGGGGGAGTCAGTAAATAGGTCACAAATGGATATGAAACATAAAACACCTCGTATTCGGACCTGGGAAATCAATTATTTATTCACATATCCTCTACCAACATCAATACACTTGTCCCATCGCTTTATCAGCGCGTCGGAAACCCGCAGCGTAAAAGGCTTTTGACTGTTGTCTCAGCCACTTCCGCACCTCCGTTTCAACCTACTCGTCGCTAGCGAAACGTTTTCCATCCAGCTGTGAACCGCTTTGTGCGACAAACAACATTTCTTTATGAATATCCTTCGCATTGAGTTCTTTTGCCCATAAAACGCACAACAGAACGCTGTTTTCGGTAGTATACACCTCAAACACATTCGCCATTTTGACTACGGAAACCAGTCTCTGAACATGCTCATGCGTGTCTGCTACTTAGACTGTCATGAAGCTGGGCTGTGCTGCTGCTACCTAATGATACACCTAGAAAACCTATTACGACTATATCAGCTGTTTTACTTCCATTTGTGACGTATTTACTGACTCTTCCTCTTACTTGTGCCGAAACTAGAGTGCAACAAACGTAGTGCCTAAATAGACAGACCGACCCCTCGCCTTGTCGAAGGGGAGCCCCCACTTCTAAACACTTACATGTCTATAAGAGAACAAAAATTTTGGTCAAGGATCTCGACAAGACCTGACGCTAAGAATGATTGTGCTGGCGAGGAGCAGGTGACCATGTGAGCTTAGGACAGCCCTCCTTGGAGTTACATTATGTGTTGATGAGGCTGAGTTCCTATATACTAATAGCATTTTAATTCCTTGTTTTAGGTTAGAATGTCTTCAGACAATGGTGACGCGTTTGAAGGCCGTAAGACAAGGTCTCAGAGAACGTTTGGAGAAACTGGGTACCCCTGGTGACTGGAATCATATTACAACACAAAGAGGAATGTTTTCGTTCACTGGTCTGACTAGTAAGTAACCTTGATATGCATGACGTAAAATTGCAGACAGGAAGCATTGATCGGACATTCTTGTTGTTCTTGTTTCCTCAGTTTATTACGCAAGAACACGATTGACCGTGTTGCGGTCTTCTGCGTTTTATGGAGTGAAAAGTGCCGAAACTGATTGTTTGTAATATGACGAAACAATTCTGAAAGTGAATCGATTTAGGTATCTATTAAATTTATTTTTAAACGTCTGTAAGTACGTATTTATGCTTTATACAGATGCTAAACGTGCGAAACTTAATTACAAGTGGTTTATAAGATTTGTTAAGGTTATTTCGCCGATCTAAGGCATGAAATGCCTCCGTTCGCTCAAACGCTGGGATCCTGGGTTCGAATACCTCTCGATTCATGCATGCCTGTCTGAGTTTCGTCTGTTTGTGTTCTGTGTATATAGCAGATTTGAGACAGGGCTGATCACCCAGCCAAGAAGTCCTGCTGACGTGTCTGTAAAGATCCGTAGTTCCAGATGAATTCTGATGGGAAACAGGCCACAGCCCAACAGGAAAGTAGAAGTTAAGGATACTTAATGTATTATTGATTAAACACTGTGCTGAAGTATCGTTTTACAAACCACAGAATAACTTTGTGGTTGGTTTTCGTAAGGAAAGTTTATACAACAATGCGCGATTTTTTTTCAATAAAGAATTTCACACGTAATACAAAACTGAATAATAAAGATTCCTAGCCCCTCCCCAAAGCAGAAACTGGGATTATGATGGAGGGGCCAAATTGTATTTCATTTAGTTCAATAAAACTCAGACCGTGATTCAGCGGTCGTCTTTATATTCGGGAGATCTGATTTCGATTATCGGTTTGAACAGTGTTTACACTGACTGAGATGTTCAGTTTTTTTCCTCAATTCCATTTATTTTTGTAAGATTTGACAATTTATTTCATATGCAGTGGTTCATAACTTTCAATTCTGAGGGTTTAAACTGAATGATGGTTGTATGCATCCTGTTGTGTATCACTATGCGGTATTATTGAGCGGCCGTCAACACAAAAAATTCCAAATTCATTAATTTTTGTTGGTCTGTGTATTACAAAACTTTTAATTAAATCAGTGCCATTAAAAACGCTGTATGCTCCATAATTGTACTCTTCCGTTTTATGACACTGTGTTATGTTGTGCTGTATGCTTTAACATAATGCTGTTCTTAGAGTGGGGTGAGACTAAGTCCCTTTGTAGGAGGGAGAATCAGTAAAGAGGTCACAAATGGATATAAAACGTAAGACATGTGTTATTCGAAAGTAGAAAAAAAGAATTTTTCTCGACATATCCACCAACAGTGATACACTTTTCCCATCGATTTACCAGTGCGTCGAAACCCGCAGTTTGACTGTTGTGTCAGCTACTTCTGTCAATCTCTTCGCCATTAGCGAAACATTTGCCTCGTTTCACGACCAAGTTGTGAACCGTTTTACATGACAAACACTTCCCACCGTAAACAGGAAAAAAATTCTTTATGAATATCCTTTGCATCGGGTCCTTTTACCAAAAAAAATTCATAACAGAACGCTGATTTTCGGTAGTATAACCTCAAACACGGTCGCCATTTTGACTACTGAAACCAGTCTGTGAACACGCGCATGCGCATCTGCCACCTAGACTGTCATGAAGCTGGGCTGTGCTGCTGCTACCCAGTAATACACATAGAAAACGTATTACGTCCATTAGAGTTGTTTTACCTCCATTTTGTGATCTATTTACTGACTTTCCCTAGTACTTAGAACGCAAGCGGGCTCATTGTATCAGGAGGCAGCACTTGGTGGAATAAAAATCGGCAGGAGAAACAGGCTTACAAGGAGAAAACCAGCAAAACGGTTCGTTCCTCCGAAATATTGGTAACAACCAACTAGCACACAATACAGTGTCATAACGCAGAAAGCCCACACTGGTAATCTTCAACGTCACGAAAACCTCGATTCATACCCTTTACACTCGGAGCTCCAAAATGCACCAGGCTGCTAATAATGATCTTTTATGTTTCCAGGTAAGCAGACGACCTATTTAGCGAAGGAATACCACATGTACTTAATGCCCAATGGCAGAGCCAACTTGTGTTCCCTCAACAGCAAGAATTTGGACAGATTTGCACAAGCTGTTCATGATGCTGTAACAAGGGAGGCAGATTAAATGGAAAACATGAACTTCAGTAATATTATACTACAGCAGGAAAATTAGTGCGTTGAATAGTCCTTCAAGCACTATCCTTAATTCTTAAAGCTCAGTGTCGCCATTTTAGGTTATCACAGCTGTTCTTCTTTCATGACTAAATAATAAATTCCCTGAGAACATTAGATGTAGGAACAAATTCCTTCCCCTTCGCTCTTTAATCTTTTTTTTTTATTGCTAGTGGGGTGGGACTAAGTCCCTTGTACTGCGGCCACTTCTGACCTATTGTACCAGCCCCAGATGATAGGTGAGAGTGATTGTGGAGCAATTGGTGGAATGAAGATTGGCAGGGGAAACTGAAGTACTACGAGAAAACCTGCACCAGCGCCACTTTTTCCACCACAAATCCCACTTGACCAGACCCGGGATCGAACCCGAGCCGCCGCGGTGGGAAGCCAGCGACTAACCGCTTGAGCTATGGCGCCGCCTCGCTCCTTACTTAGTTCAGATAAAATTTCTACTGATGTAACATAACTTCATTTACAGCATTTTATGTGAAGGTCGACATTTGACCTTTGTGAAGTTAAATTTATGCTGCTAGCCATTTTCACGAATTTGTCACTCATTTAATATTATTAATTCTGTTATTATTATAACTAACTAACTAATTAACTAACTAACTTGATTCAGCTGAGCCCTTCTTGAGAAGCCGTACAATTGCGCAGCTACTCAAGAACTTCCCAGAATTTTATGGAACCCGAAGGTTAATTACCGTGTTCATAAGAGCCCTCCACTAATCCTTATCCTGAACCAGATCAATCCAGGCCATAACACCCAATCCTATCTCTCTAAGATCCATTTTAATATTATCCACCCACCTACGTCTTGGTCTTCCTAGTGGTCTACTTCCTTCCGGCTTTCCCATCAATATCCTATTTGCATTCATCTTCTCCCCGTTTCGTGCTACATGGCCTGTCAATCCCATCCTCCTTGACTAGATCATTCTAATATACTTGGCGAAGAGTAAAAGTCATTGGATTATAACAAGGAATAAAATTAGAGATGTTATTCTTATAGAAGGAATTGAGTTTCCAGATTTCTCATTAAAGTCTGAAGATAAGCGTCTAAAATTGTGCGGCATTGTAGAAAGAAAAAAATAACAGTAGAAAACTACCGAGACAGGTATTACGATTAAATTCTAACGCAATTGGACCTGTGGGACTATTCAGAACAAGAAGACCCCGCTCAGTGCGTGACTATATGTCAGTTTTTCCGAGGTCCTTTACTAAATAAATTTGATGAACGGTGCATTATTTCAGTATATGCATATTGTAGCGTGTATAGCTGTTGCTATGCAAAAATTGCGATAAGGAATATGCGTTACTTGGTAACGGCCGGTAAACACGTCAACAGGATCTGGGCTATCGCTAGGCAACTGTCCATAACAACAATAGAAGTAACGTTGGGGGGCGGTGTTTTCTGTTGCTCCCGACCCGGGGCTATATAACGACGACCCAACGGCAGCTGAAGGAACGCGTACCGTGTGGAGGCGGGGTCGAGGATGCGACTAAAAGGGAAATCTCGAATCTGAAATATTAAAATATGACAGGAGTCCCACTGGGCTCGGACCCAAAAATGACTGCGCTGGCGAGGACCAGCAGCAATTGTAAACGACAGACCCATCCTCTCGTCAGAGAGAGCGCCTCACATCAACAAACCCGCAACTGTCGGACAGCAATAAAAATCTGGTCGTAAGCCCCAAATGGGTGCTTTATTCCAAGATAGACTGACCGACTGACCGTGGGTCGTAACATAAGAGACTCAGACTCAGACTGAAGGGAATTGAGAGAGTTCAGTTGCGGTACGTTCGCTGGACAGGAAGGACCTGAACGCGGGAAGCTGAAGCATCTCCACCGTTAACATCCGTTACTAGGAAACGGTTTTGTTTACAGAGTCACCGCCTAGCAGCGGGTCTATACGACACAGTATTTTGAATTAGGGTTGTTTTTCCAGAAATCTTAACCAAATTTCAAAGGAGGATGTTCTGTAATCGATCGAAATGCGCCATATTGAATTTCGGAACGGAGACCGGGTATAACGCGTTTCCCGAGTCATAAATTCTGAGTCAGCACCTTGAAGTAGGACACAACCACTTCCTTTTCACCTTTCATAATCACTCATCATTCAAGTTGCAGTACATATGAGCTTGTAACTGATGAAATATCGTTAAATATAGTAATAAATATGCGGGTAAAACCAATATCTCTTCTATGGCACAATTGTTACGTGTATAATTTTCTGTAATCTATTATTTGTAATAAATAGAATTTCATGAGACTTAACTGAACCATTTGATCCATAAGACAGAGTATGCTGGCTCGAGCTGTAACATTTCTGACTTCTGTTCGGGATGTTTCCAGTTCGAATCTCGGCCGGGACATTGGCTATCTTGACTAAGGATTTTTGTCTTCTTTCTTAATCTCTTCAGGATAATTCCTGGATGTCCCTTTCCAGATCTTATCCAATTCATTAGTCCTATGCTTATTATGATTCGTCTATTCGACAATCTAGCCGGAGTGACCGTCGCCTAGTTATATAAACTGCAAATAAATACATAAATGTAGTCAGACGGTCCTCGATTTGAATCTTCTCAGGGACACAGAATGTTCTGAGGTTTCCCTTGTGGTTTCCCTCAAGTAAATGTCACGGTGGTTCCTCGAAATATCACGAAGTGTTCCTCTCAAGTCATTTCAAAACTTGAACTCCGTGGCTTGAGTCCCCAAGCGAACTATACCGACCAAGCGACCGCCGTTTGTCGGCGAAGTTAGTGCCACCTTTTGCGGGTAGAGGGTGTCGCGTGGTCAGCGCAACGGATCCCCACGGCCGTTAATTTCGGTTTTCTGGACCGGAGCTGCAATTTCCTTGAAACAGCTCCTTAATAATCGTCACGAGGCTGAGGGGACCCTGTTCCAAACCCACTACTTCTCTGAAAATCTGGTAGCGCTGGGAATCGAACCCGGGATCTCTGGATCTGTAGCCAGGAACTCTAACCACTAGACCACAGGGGCGATCTTCTCTATAATCACGAAAAGTCAGTTTGTGTTTAGTTATCATAAGAAATAAGAATAAAAGAAAGAAGAATTGTCATAACCTAAATTTATTTTCATTGAAAGCGTCATCCACAATTTTTACTCTGGAGCCTCCAGCAACTGAATCCGACCGTGAGTAAACTGAACTTTGTTATTAACGAAAATAAGAATTTCCCTATTTCCTGGCAAATGCTGGGACAGCGCCTCAAATTANATGTCAGGAACAGCTTCAAGAATAGTGTCATTATTCCTCTGGATCCCAACCTCTTGTTTCCAGAGAAATAAAATAGCAGTGGATACTGTGAGGACACATACCGTAGCTTTCTNTACAGAACACAGAGTTTAGTTTATTAGAACATCTGTCACACGTACTGACCACTGGGCTTCAAAGGGTTAATTTATAATATAAAATGATTACTGTGTAGTATGAAAATCAAAGAAATTCCATTATAAGTATACGGAATGTTGAGAGTTAAACATTATGCACTAGGAAGCAAAATTTACTTACTGAAAGAAAATGAAAAATAGTCATGAGTTGTAAAACAGTATTTGTTCCAGCCAGCAAAGTAAGTGTAATGCTCTGCCCAATGTTCTCATAGAATCTATAATGACTCTAAATCATAAATGCTCAATGTTTCTTTTAATTTTTACAGGCAAGGAATCTCTTTCCTTTTATTGATGCAGCATACCAAGGTTTTGCTACTGGAGATCTAGACAGCAATGCCTGGCCAGTTCGTTACTTAGTAAATCGAGGTTTCGAGCTTTTTATTGCTCAGTCTTTCTCCAAAAATATGGGGCTTTACAGAAAGTCAGTTTCAAAGATTTGTTTCCAGACACAGTTTATATTTCAGACAAAGAAAAATGAATTGCAAGTCTGAAATGACCTACATTTATTCAGTTTTAATTACTGATGAATTTAAGAGTAGATTTTGTTTGATAAATATATGGTACTATTAATTTCAGAATCATATTTATTCTCATCATCTTTATAAAAAACTTAAAAACCTACAAGTTCTACAAGTATACATGTGTAAAACCTGTAACATCCAAAGGGTTGGAGTCAATGAGAACTGGGTCTTGGAAAAGTGAAGTACTGGTAGAAATGAGAAATTTGCATGTAGATGAATATTATCCAACTGTTATGGTGATTAACTCAAGCAAAATGAGGTGGGCAGGAAATGTGTAACATGAACAAGACATGCAAGTAGAATTTTGTTAAGCAAGTTTCAATAGAAGAGACTTAGGAGAAAAGTAATAAAATGGATCTTAGAGAAATGAGTTATAAAGATGTGAATTGGTTAGAACTAGCTCAGAATAATTTATTTGATTTACAGTTTATTTAATTACACATTTAACAGCTCAAATTTTATAGTAATGAATGAGAAGATGATTAGTGAATAATGAATTGTATAGGATGTGAAAGGAAGCTGTCATGGCCTGCCTTGGGCATTTGCCTGGTAGGGCTGAAGAAATACATGACAATCTCAGAGAGAACAGCTGGTCCTCAGGCCAAGATTTGATTCTGGTATCTCCTAGACATGGAGCAGGGGTGCTACCCATTCAACTGCAAAATATGGTGGCTGAGAACAGGGATTGGCTACTGTACTAAGGACACTGACTGAACATTGGGGTCTTAAAGAAGCTGGAATGTCCTGGTCAGCTGAAGAATCATCAGCTGCTCAGGCAAACCCTACAGTAGGGTTATGTAATCTTCATCTTTATGATAACTAAATAATGTTTCCTTATTTTTCTTTACTGTTTGATAAGATTCTATTTATTTGTACTTTCTCTAATGATGCTGTCAGTATCTCAGATTATATTGGGTCAAATGATTGGATAATAGTGAAAAATGAATTGGAAAGGATGTGGAAGGAAACGGTTGTGCCCTAATTTGAGCTACTGTCCCACTGTCCCAGCATTTACTTGAATGGACTGAGGAAAACCGAAGAAGATCTCAGTCAGTACAGTCATTGCTCTGGATGATGTTTGAATCAGGCACTTCCCAGATACAAATTAGAAGTGTCAGCATGTGAGTGAAGTTGATTGGATGCTTGAGAGAAATGGAAGTTTGGGGAGGAATCATCCCTCAGAATAAATTAATAAA